ATACCACATGCAGCTAAACTGGGCAGCCTGAAAGAGTGCTAGGCTTCAGGTCCCACTCTGTTGCCAGCTCCACCTTCCTTCCCTGTGTCCTCCCTCTAGACTACTTATGGGAAATGGAGTCCCTAACCACAGAGACTGTTGTTCCTGAGCTGCCTAGCAAGGGTTAAGGCATCTAGCACCCCTGGGCTGGGCTTCCACCGCTGAGTCAGCCAGTTAACATTGACCCAGGGGTACCCAGACACCAGAGAAAACCATGCTGGATTCATTCACAATCGTGACATCTCACCTGCCCCTTAGGTCTTGTGAGGAGTAGATACAGCAACCCCTGCCTGGGCTCTGAGCAGCAGGAGCACAGGCACCCACCAGGCAGCCTGTGGTGAAATGGACTTGATGGTCTCCTCTGCCCTCCAGCACTGTCCTCAGGAGTAACCACAGTCATAGTGCCACCCTAGGTCACCCTCAGTCTCCTCTGTGGGGCTGACTCAATGCAAAGACCACACACTCACTCAGTTCTGTAAAGTGATAGTAGGAGCTATAAGCAGGCATGACCAGTAGTATCCAGGGAGTGCACAGGGACTTAGGGGTTGAACTGCATCTCCACCCTTCCTGGGCTTAACCTACACTTGGGAATAGAGACACGGAGGTTAGTGGAGGACATGGTGAACCTACTTGGTACTAGTACGTCTTCCGGCCAGGCCATAAAACAAGAAAGCAGGAATGACAGAAACACTTCTTTTCGATTTTAAATCCTTTTGGCTACCACTCTTGCCATAGCAGAACTGAAGCCAGCCAGCAAGTTGGAGCCCCTGTAGCCTCTGGTGAAGCCAGTAAAAGCTCACTAATTCCACACCTTGACCTGGATTCTTAAAACAATACTGTGGTGCTGGGCATGGTGGCACACGCCTTTAATCCCAGCACTCAGGAGACAGAGGCAGGGGGATCTCTGAATTCAAGGCCAGCCAGCTCTACAGAGTGAGCTCCAGGACAGCCAGAGCTACACAGAGAGACCCTGTCTCAAAAAACAAACAAATAAAAATATTGTGATAATATAGGTCCATGCATAGGGCTTCATACACACCAACTGCCCTACAGGACTGGTGGCTCACCTACCACTGGTCAGCCAGATGAGAACATAGCAAGTGTAGAGCCCTAGCCCTTTACCCTCTGCCTTGTTTAGGTAGCACTAAAACTAACTTCAGGGACTTCTCTGGCATGAAAGTTCCAAAGCTTTTTGACATTCTCCTGATGTTAACAGAAGTACTCTCCTCTTGGCAAGGACCTGGTTTATGGAAAGAGGGACACACCACTCTCTTTGTGGCATTTGACTTATAACATTTTATAGCTGACGGTAAGGAGCCTTCTGGAGGTCTTTGCTACTATATAGCACACCACCCAGCTCTATGTACAGGAAGTCAGGCCCATAGTCTCACTGGACAGCTAGCTCTGGCCACTGAGCTGCAGAGTTGAGTAAGCAGCATCTGGGCTGGAATCAGCCCTAATGTCTTCTGAAGAGGACTAAAAATAAATAAATAAATAAATAGCTGGAGGGAAGAGGAGGGGCTGGTGCATACCATGCCTTTAATCCCAGCATTTGGAAGGCAGAGGCAGGAGAAACTCCTTGAGTTTGAGGCCAGCCTGTTCTACAGAGTGAATTCCAGGACAGCCAGGATTACAGAGAAATCCTTTCTGGGGGCTAGGGCGGGAAGGGATGGGATGATGACCATTTTTCCACTGGGTCCTTTTATAGAAGAATCCTGTCACCCCTGGACATATCACATGAATGATAAAGTTTTGTCCCCCAGAAGCAAAGAGCCACCCAGCTTCCCACCCGTTCTTTCTCCCTCAGTTCCATGTGTTATGGAACTTATGTTTTCCCCATCATCTCTGAACATATGTGTACCAAGCTCTGTGAGATGTGGATATAAAAAACGAATCCCTTTCCTTGAAGGACTTTTAATCCTTTGCAGGATTAAATGGACAAGTTCAGAACCAGAAGTTCTACCTTCCAACATGGGGTAGGGAAGGCTACCCGAAACAGGATGCAGAGTGGAACCTGGGTTGATAGGGAGAATCCCCCAGTGGACAGAGGAAAAGTGATAGAAGCATGGTAGAAGGGCCTGGGGAGGCTGTCGGGTCACTGAGGCCTGAGTTCATCCCATCTAGGCCTATTCTGACTGGCCATGCATACCCACAGATGCCAGCTAGGTATCTGCCTTGATGTTGCACCATAGGTACTTGGGACGAATGAATAGGATGAGCTTGATATTGATTGAAGTAATGAGCTTGGGGGAGGTTGTTTGTTTGTTTGTTTGTTTGTTTGTTTGTTTTTCCGAACCAGGATCTCACTGTGTAGCTCTGGCTCTCCTGGAATTTGCTCTGTCAACCAGGCTGCTCTCAAACTCAGGGAACCTCCTGACTTTACCTCTCAAGTTCTGGGATTAAAGGCATGTGCCACCACCACCTAGCTGAATTTTTATTTTTGTAAAGACAGGGTCTTACTAAAGATGCTTTTTAAAGATGCTTTCAGAGTAAGCTATGTATGAGCTCTTGAAGGGAGCTATATCATGCTGACTGCTGGTCTGGGTTTCAGCATAGACTTTGCAAAGGGCCTGGCAGGCCTGGGCCAGATCCCTGTGTGCTGCTCCTCAAATCTGACTCCGTTAGGTAGGATGAAGTCCCTGAAGGCAATGAAGAAGAGGGAGGCCCAGAGGTGACATGATAGACAGCCCATAGCAACAAGGACTGATCATGACTTGAACACTTTCAGTCATAAGGACATGGACTGCTCAAACTAGAGTCATTAGGCCAGTTAAGCTAAGTATCCAAGCCACGCCAGTCTAGGCTGCAGGGGTGAACAGTAACAGATCCTGCCCTCTTGGGCAGCGAGCCCAGCTCTTCAGTGACCATTTTGTGGTTGTGGGGATGGGTTTCTGTGAAACAGCAAGCTCCCATCTTGTGCCATTTGTAATTAGAGATGTCCAGGCTGGGTAGCAAGGCATAGCTTTCATAAAGCCTCATCAGAGGAACTTCCTGGATGCCAGTGGGCAGAAGGCTGGCACTGCTGGCTCAGAGGGCCCAGTAGACAGACGTACCCTCCAAGAGCAGGAGCTATCTGGGGGAGCGTGCTGGAGCCATCTCGAAGGGAAAGGAGGAGTTGCTATATGGGAAAGAGGCTTGTGAGTTACAGAGGGCTGCACAAGTGGAGATTGTAATTCTTATCATTGTTTGTATCCAATTCATCAATCACCAGGAGAGAAGGAATGTGGTGCCTTTTATCTACTGCTATGAATCAAGGAGAATGGGATATGTTTTTCCAAAAGGTTTTTAGGGTAAATGAGACAGTTTCTACTTTTCAAAACAATCCATCTAGGGTGCATGGCCAGACCCAGGCATCCTTAGTAGCACCGAGACAGCCCAATAGCATGTACCTCAGAAGGGGATAGCCACTAGAAGTAGCTGGAAGAAACTGTCCTCTACTGTATCTATCAAGAAAGAATAGGTTTGCCTGGTTAGAGTGAAAGACAAATTCTTCCCTGTTTATTTTGATTTTTTTGTTTTGGTTTCCATTTGTTTTTTGGTTTTTTTTTTTTTTTTTTTTTTTTTTTTTTTCCCGTTGCGGGGACGGGGTTCAAGACAGGGTTTCCTTGGATAGCCCTGGCTGACCTGGAACTTGCCCTGTAGACCAGGCTGGCCTCAAACTACCAAATGGTGGGATTAAAGGCATGTGGCACCACTGCCTGGCTTAATTTTTAATTTTAATTTTGAACACATCATTCATTCATTTCAAAGGTTAGAATGTAGGACAGATACATAGTGAAAAATTCTCCAGGCACTCCACACCCTTCCCCTGAGGCAGCAGCTTCTTCTGATTCCATATACCTCTATTGCACACAGCTTTGCTAGTGCCCACCCAGTGCCCTGTGTCCTTCATACTTTTTCCTCTTTGTGGTCACAGTGTAGCCAGGGGGAGCCATGCACCATTTTTCTGCATGCAGGCTGGAACTTTGGATTGATTCAAGACACTGATAGTGGGTAGCCTGTGTGCTGTCAGTTCCCACATGGACAGGTATATCTAAATGGCATTTTCCTAGAAGCAGCATGCGTGGCTGAGAGGTCTGTGGATGCATTTTCCATAGCAGTTGCCAGAATATAATAGGGTCTTATAATAGGGTCTGACTTAGTGGCTAAGAACAGCATCTGCAGAGGGGGTTGGTGAGGACAAGAACCAGCCAGGCAGAGGAGGGGTCTCACTCCCAGCCATGATAAATAAAGCTCTTATTGAAAAGACGCTGGCAGGCTAGGTACAGACACAGCCAGGCTGGGGGCAGGAACATACATGGAAGAAGACAGCTCAGAAGGATCCGTTCAGGATACTCCCCAGCCAACAACTTCATTCACATGTGCCTTTTCTCAACCTGAGTACCCACAAAGAGACAAGGAGACAGCCAACGTCCCCGGCAGGGATGTGAGCCTTGAAGGAATGGGCCTGGCAAGGCAGCCGGGGCCAGGGACCATAAGGAATCTTGCCTGGAACTAGACTAACGGGGCATCACAGAGGGGAGGTGGGTGGCTGAGAATGGGTAGTGGGTACAACACAGTGAGCAAAGAAAGGCTTCAACCAAGGCATGTGGGTAAGGCAGGATGGAAAGTCAGGGCTGCTCCTTAGACTCTCCTAGGTGGGGAAGCCAGAGCCAGGACTGCTGCTCCACAGAGCCACAGGAGCCCCTGAAGCAGAGGCAGGGAATATGACCCAAGGCCACCTCTGTCCCTTGAGCTCTCTGAACTTGTATCTTGGCTTTAGCATGGGATTCCTGAAGTTGCCTGTTGAGCCTTCTTAGTGCCTGTATTAAGGGAATATGGTGATTATTTAGTAGCAGCTAGCTCAGACCTTATCCCTACTCTGTATACATCATTATATGTAAGGTGGGTCCAGCAATTCACCACCCCAGAGTCAGTTCTCAGCATGCACTACTAATACCTCTTCTCCTATGTGGGGACAGGTAATGGATGACTACAGCGTGATTGGACGCTCCCTGTTCAAAAAGGAGACCAACATCCAGCTCTTTGTGGGGCTTAAGGTGCAGCTGTCTACAGGGGAGCAGGGCATCATCGACAGTGCCTTCGGCCAGAGTGGCAAGTTCAAAATCCACATCCCTGGTGAGTGCAGTTGCATCTGTGCAGAGTGTGAGAGATGGCAGGCCTGAGCACAGTCAGGACAGCATTGCTAGCCTTAGCCTCTGGCTAGGAAGCCAGCATGAGTCCTGAGAGGGTCTGGACAGGCGCGAGGTTAGGGTTGAATTTTATCCCACTATTTACTATTTTGGACACACCTCAGCTTCCTCATGATGTCGGCATTGATCTTACAGAAAGCTCAGAGGAGAAGGGGAAGGGAAAGCCTGCCTGCCAGGGCTGGCACAGCGCCATGGTGCCCAGTAGGTTCAAACAAATTGTAGAGACCATCAGGCTCAGGGCCGTGTTCATGGCTGGGTCAGGGTGTACACTTACTTCTGGAAGTGGAGCCTCTGTGTTTCTTTCATATAGTCATTCCTTAGGTCATGTGTGTATTTAAACAATCTGCATTTTATTGAAGCCAACTGTGTTATCAAGTCAACACTTAGTACTAGAGGTATGGAGGTTGTTGTGGAAGAAGACAGTGCCAGGCAAGTACACAGTCCTGAGCTGGGGCATGTAAGGTGCATGAGGGCTTGAGCTGGAACTTAGCTGGGTGTGGGAGTGTTTGAGGACTGCAGGTCTAGGGGTCCTAAGTGTGAGAGGTCTGGGGAGGTGTCACGTACTGGGTGCTTCAGGGCTGTGTGTCGGAGTTGATGTGCGGAAGGTCACTGGCCAGAGTATACTGGGAGGTTGAACAGGTAGTGCACAGGTTACAGGCAGGGCTTATGCACAGTTCCTTATGGTACAGGAGGCACTGAGTGTCTGTTTGTAATAATGCATTATGATGCTCAATCTTCTACCTCCACAAATTTACAGGAACCCATCTCTGATAGCACACAGACTCATGTAGTTCTCTGTGGCTCTAGGACCCTGGTTGGAAAAGGAGGCTAGACGTGAAGGAGGGTTTAGATGAGATGAGCAAGGCATCAGCTTGGTTTGTAATTTCTTGGCTAGAACAACCCTGATTCAAGCCAGGAAGTAGGGCTCCTTGGCCATACCTCAGGTAAGGCTAGGGAGCCCAGAGGGCCACAGATAACATTGCCCTCTCACAAAGGAAGGCAGTAGTCACCAGAGGCACTGTCTCTCTGTGCCTCTCTGTTTGGCGCTAGGAAGTAGGAGATAGGCCCAGCAGAGACAAGGACTACTGTCTTATATAGCCAGCTTCATACCAGCTGAGCGCACAGCTCAACTAAAACACAAGGCCTGCACTCAAAGACTTCACAGCCAGTTCTCCAACTACTCTGCAGTACTCTCCATCTACTCTGCAGAGTCCCCATTGTGTCATCCCTTGCTCGGCTCTGGGACTACCAAAGCGAACACAATCGGGGTGACTGTGTTTGTGGAGCTTCCAGTGAGTAGTAAACGTGACGTCAGGCACCACAACAGTTCCCAACATCACTGGTTGAACGATTCACAGCTCTGAAAATCTGGAGCTGGGAATCCAAGATCAGAGAGTGGGCAAGGCTAGTCTCTCCATGGTTTACAAATGTCTTTTATGTCTTCATGTAGCCATCTCTGTTTATCTGTCTTAATCTTGTGTAGACACCAGTCATATTTTATTAAAACTAACATTAGCAATCTCATTGTAACTTGATCTCTTTAAAGGCTATCTCCAACAGCAAGCAGTCTCAAGCTGAGGGAGCTGGGGGTCTGTGCGTTTGTGTGAGTGTGAGTGTAGGGACACTTGATCAGCCTGCAGCAGGTGTGAAGACGGACCATGTATAGGTGTTCCCATGTTTGCATTGCCACTAGTCACATTAATGCTGGGCAGGAAGGTATATAATGTTACAACATCTCACAGCAAAGCCCTTGACTGAATCTAGGGTTGGAAAGGTTTCCCAAGAAGGTGACATGGCTCCCAAGACTGTACTTAGAACACACACACAGGCCAGTGGGCACCAGCAAATAATGTGTCCTGTCATGGCATCAGTGCCCATGATGACTGGTGATGAAGAGGATGGTTAAGCAGGTAGAGTCAGAGCCTGGGATCCAGTCTCACCTATGTGCAAGGTGATCACTGCTCATCAGTGGGCCACAGGAATGTGTGTAGATGAGCATCTGTGATGCCTTTGGAAGTCAGGGCCAAGACCTGAGCCAGCAGCACAAGGCAGAGACTGACTGGAGATGTCCTGCCCTCCATGTGCTCATGGAGATAAAGAGGGAGGAACCGCCGCTCCCTCCAAACCTTCTGCACACATCCCCTCCTGTTTTCCAGCTGTGGCCTGTGTCTTGGTGACACCTGAACCCAGTACACTGGTTTTACCTCCTTTCCATGAGAAGTCTGGTACAGAAGACTTCAGAGCTAGCTTCTTAGGTAAGCCCTAAGGGAAGGGGTCATGGGAGAGAGAGCACATGACCCTCCCCTTCCAAAGGAGAATAGGAGGTGATGAGGAAGTTCCCCAGGCAACAGAAGGAAGAAAATCATCCGGGATAGAAGGAACAGAGAGTGCTAAGTCACAGAGACTGGACAGAGTGCAACATAATTTGAGAATGTTGAATAATAACAGAGTGTAATAGTCATTGAACATTGTGCTGTGTGGGACATTGTTCTAAGTGCTTTCTGTATTGTAGCCATTTACTTTGGTGTTCCAGAATGCTAGTTTGGGAACAGTTTTTAAGCAATGGTACTTCTGTCCCCCATCAAGGTCTTATAGGAAGTCAAATAGTGGCAGGGACCCCAGGATACTCCTTGCTGCTCACTCTCTGTCTCAGCCCAGAGGCTTGTCTTTGGATGGTGAAAAGAAGAAACTTGTACTTGGCATCTAGTCTTGGCAAAAACTGGCCATCTTGACTTTGGGTCTAGATCCTTCTGTCATGGGGATGCCCTGTGCACTGAGGGTGCTTTCTAGTACCCCCAGTCTCTTCTCCCGGGTGCCAGTACCCTGCCACAGACTGCACCATACTGGGCCACTGTGTCTTGGGTACATTCAAAGATGGGTTTCCCTATGCAGAGCTCTGTACTTGACACATTAACACAGACACTTGATTCATTCATAGAGAGCCTCGGTGGTTCAATTATTGACCAGAGGCATTGCTAGCCAAAGACAACCCCTGTCAGTCACACACCAGGAGCACAGAAGAGGTCTGGATGGAGAGGGACAGAATATTATACTCTGTGTCAACCATGGCTGGTGCTGAACACCAGCTTCTGCCTAAGGTGTGTAACAGAAATCAGTCTTCCATCTTGTAACAGCCCTCTGTGGTGGGCTCTCAGAGAAGCTGTCACTCACTTCAGATCTGATGATAAGAAAGTGTACCCGTCTTGAAGGCTGGACAGGTCCTGCGCCCTCCCTGCTAAAGCAGAGTTCTCAATTTGGTGTCTATAGGACAGTGCCAAACAGTCGACATAACACATGTTGGCAGTAGCAACTACACCTATAAATGCCATCTTCATCATTTCTTGGGCTTCTTCCTGTTGGGGTGCCTCAGAATGCCAAGAGGTAAAACAGTCACAACCTCAGGAGGCCCCAGGCCAAGTGAGCCTTCCATCCACAGCTCTCAGAGTCTACAGGTGACAAGATGAACTTGCCAGGTCAAGTGCATTACCAGGTTACATGACTGAGAAAGGTAGGGACTTTGTTGGACCCAGCAGAGCCCATCGAGATGCTGAGAACTGGGGCTGCAGTGGGATCTGAGGCTTAGTCTGGGAACCAAGCGGCTGGGGTGTGTAGGGACCCAGTGCTTGCCCTGTAGACTCCAGATTCACCATATTCTTGCCACCATCCTCTGGCTGAATTTGAGGCCTACTATGGGTGTACCTGGGAGCATCTGTGGCCTGAAGAGGACTCACTGTGAACTGAAATTTAGCTACCACTGCCCAACAATGAATAAGGTCCCCTGGCTCCAGTGGGTCTAGGATGAGGGGGCTGTGCTGTGAGTTGGTGTTCATTTAGGGGTCAGGAGAGACAGCTGCATGACTATGGCGAAGAGCTCCTCCCTCCATGGCACAACTTCCTGCAGCAGAGGCTGCTGCTCTAGTCCCAGGCCTCGCCATTCAGGATCCACGCACTCTGTCCCATTTCTCTGTGTAAGATCTATGTAGGGAACCAGAAGGATCCAGGCATCCTGGTCTTAAACCGGATATCACTGGATTCACAGATTATGTTATCCTGAAAAGCTGGAGAAACATAAAGAGAGCGTTTTGTTATATTTCCTTCCACAGTGTGTGCACACGTGTGTGCACGAGTATGTGTGCTCACACACTCCCGGGGACCAGAAGTCAACCTCAATTATTATTCTTTAAGAACTGTCTGCCTTGGTTTTAGGGTGGTTGTTTGGTTGGTTTTTGTTTTTAAGACTGGGTCTCTCACCTGGAGCTCACAAGGCCAGCATGCTCCAAGCTCTTTCACCTTTCCAGTGCTGGGATTGCAAGCACACACCACCACACTGGGTGTTTTTTATGTATGTTCTGGGGATTGAACTCAGGTTCTCATGGTTCTGCATGCAGCAAGTGCTTTAGCAGCTTGGATATCTCACCAGCCCTCTGGCACTTTTCACTATCACAGGTGTGATGAGGAGGGTACATGGTCAGGAACAAGGGCAGAACACACACACACACACACACACACACACACACACACACCCCGCCCCACCTTGTTTGCAGGCTATTCGGACTGCAATGTCCACAGGATGTACTATCCCAAAGTAAGTGCCATGTCATCAGATTACATAGGTGGGATTGGAAGACCAGTTCCTTCACTTGTCAAATAGCCACTTCCAAATTCCAATGGCTGGTCCCCATGGAAGGTGTGATATCAGTCATTCTCAGCAGCTCTGGTACCTTTTTATCTGGCCTAGCAGAATTTGCCAGAGGCCAATCTGGGCCTGGGTCTGGTGTCTGGGAAGCAGGAAAGAGTTTCTGTGAGAGCTCAGGGTGGATTGACTGTTCCACACCCAAGGCCCTCACCAGTGAGCTAATCAGCCTCTGTCCTAGGTAAGAGGTTTCTGGCTAGCCTCTTCCCATCCCATTCGGGGACGTGACTTCTCACACAGGATAGGGGCTTGACCTGTGTGTCTGTCTCCAAATGGGAAAATGGGAAACAAAACAATTTTTATACCTGCAACCTAAAAGTAATAGCTCTGTCTGTCTCAGCTGTGAGCCAGCTCAGGGCAGTAGGAGACAGCTCTGTCCTCATTCTCCTTGCTTAGTGTTTCCTTTATTTATCATCTCACCTTTCAGGAGAGGCTGGTCCACATGGTTCCAATGCTAGCCCACACCTTGTATTGAGCACCTAAGCTCTCCACACAGTGTTGGGTGCTGTGAGTTTTCATTGCAGCTGTCCTTGGTGGAGTGCAAGGTAGCCAACCACCTAAACTGAGTCTGGACACAGAAACCCAGGGCTCCATAAATGTTCAGTGTTTCCAGCTCCTGTGTTATGAAGAGCATTGCTGGAGCATCTTCATAAGTTTACTGTAATATGAACAGTGTTGTCTTAGGATTGGTTCTCAGAAGTTAAACTGTTCTAATTTTCCACAAAGAAAACACCAGATATTTAGACATTGAGTCACCTCACTCAACACTACTGGATTTCAGCTTTTCTATTCCAGGTATTCTCTGTAGTCCATCCTCTCCACTTAGGGCTCATTTATATTTCTTTGATGACTACTGAAGTCACTATTACTTCCCACCCCCAATCTATTCTCGTGTGTGTGCACAAACATACACATACACACACACACACACACACACACACACACACACACACTACAAAGGCTGTAGCTCCCAGCCTGGACCAAGCCAACTGCACAGTCTCCACTTCTGGGGCTGGTCTGCTGATTCTAACCATAGACCATGTAGCATAAGCACATCAACCCAGTACCCCATGTGGGGTGCTGCTGCCAGATAGCCCTTGGTCCTCCTCAGCATCTGCACCTCTGATCCAAAGGCCTTGTACTATGCCCTGAACCCAGGGCCTGTGGTGGCAGTTCTGTCGATCTACACTTGCTTGAGCTGAGACCCTTCAGAAGAAGTTGTGGCTCAGAGCACTGGCAAGAAGGCTTTTCAGAGCCTGAAGAAGGTATCCTGTCCTAGTCTAGATAGCCTATGAGCCCTAGGCACCCTGCTGGGCTGCTGCCCATTGCATCCCTTGCTGCCCTGGCCAGAGCATGTTTCTGGGAGCTCTCCTTCTCTGAGGATACTTGGCAGAGGAAGTCAGTATCCTAGGACGGGGAGCTGCTGATGGTGGAGGGGTATGGCTACCTATAGAGATCTGAAAGCTTCTGGTGAGAACATAAGAACATATGGGGGTGAGACCCAGGTGCCACTTCATCCAAAGTGCTGGCTGTCTCTAGTCATCCTTACAAGGGGCCCCCAGCCAACCTGGGGAGAGACAGCTAGGTCTCACCCATGATACCCAAGATGAGGCAACCCTTCTGAGCAGTCATTCATTCCACTAGGTTCCGCCCCACAGCTAACTGCCAACTCCCACAGGGAGACAGGAAAATAGCTCTCTGGGAGAAGAGAGCTGAGCAGGGGTGAGGGGTGAAAGTTGAGGTTTCAGAAACTCCTATAAAAATGAAAACAAACCATCCATCTTTCTCCCGGCATCTTACCCGACAGTGCCCTTTCTGGATCTTGCCCTGACATCTATGGGGACAGCAACTCTGAAACCTGACCCAGCCCCTGTAAGCTGCTGCCACCCCAGCCTAGGGCTGCCCTGGATGAGGACAACCTGGCATCCAGAGCAGGGAGCACTTTAGGGTGTCTTCTCCCCCTAAATGAATAGCCTCCTCCAGCTTTGGCCATTGATGCATTTCAAAGCAATTGTAAAAATTATATGAACCCCATCGAAGAACTGTTACAACAATGTTTATTCCCAGCATTTGAAACAAGGACAATGATATTATAAATAATTGTAGATGATGAAGATAGGCAAGAAAAAATAACATAATTAAAAGAATTTTACAAGACGGCCTGTTCACAAAGATGGATGGAGTAACACAATACGATGAAAATATCTGCAATTAACATAAACCAGCACAGTGGACAGAAACCAGCTGCTGGCTAGCCTCTCCACAGGGTCCCATCATCCACATGGGCAGTGCTGGGGCTTCTTGGGGTGGCTATTATGGCTCTGGGGCCCCAGGAAGAGGCAATTTGAGGGTTCTTTCCTGAAAACAGTTGGAGGCCTAGAATACAAGGCCTGTTCAGTAGAAGTTGAACAAACCAAGGAAAACTTGGATTCAGGAAGTCACTAGGCATGCTACAGAGCTTCCCTCAGGAGCCCCTCCCTAGCCCAGGGTGACACTAACCTACTACTCTCCCCCGAAGTTCCCCATGACAGCACACTGCCAAGCCCTCCTGTGTCTAAATTC